GATTAACTAAGGAACAGATGCATGAAACCCTTGGTATTTCACACCCACTGCTAAATGTCTGGACTGCATACATTTGAGCAGAGGGAAAAATCACTTCCAGGGATAAATATGCTGTGGCAGAGTGGCACCGTTCTCAGGCTCATCTCATCTCCTTCCTGGTGTGGGAGTTTTCATACCAAAGGATGCAGTATCTGTTGATGTTTAGGGACTGCTACAGTGCTTGTTCAGGTGGGTGGGACCTGCTGGTTCTGTCTGTGCACTGATTGTATTTATAGAGCTCAGATGAGAAGCAAGTGAGGGTTTTTTGCTGCAAACAGGCGTAGCTGTAAAATTTGCAGGCACGGAGAGAGGTACCTAAGTCGTCTGTGTTTGTGCTGGCAATTTCAGGCTGCATCACTGAATAAACAAGGTGGGCCTCAAATCTCAACCCAGCAGCTGCCCAGAGGTGAGGTTCCAATGCCATGGAGGCCCTGCAGTGCCTTATCCTCGTGGCACCACAGTTTTAAGAGAGTTTTTTATCTATACCAGATAAGAGTAGATAAATCAAAGTTTTGCTACTTAAAATAGACCAAAGGAATAGGGTAAAATGAAAGATAAGTGAGGGGAAAAACATCCATGATCCAGAATATTCTTTGTAGACTTCAATTAGTTGCTTTTGGGTCCTATTCTGTAATACTACTCTGGCTTCTGCTAAGAAGCAAGAGGAATTGCCCATTAATTACATCATTTCATCTTTTGATAAAGAATGTAGAGCAAAATCTGCATATTCTCTCTCTAAATACTATATATACATACGTGGCAGTTATTAAAGGTAAACAATCCATAGTTTATCAACTTTAGATTCAATGTTCGCAAGTGTTTTTATAAAAAAATTGTTCTTCCTGAAGATAATTATTCTGGTAGCACTTATTTAGCGTTCCAAAGCATGATCTTGTAAATTGCTATAGATGTTCAGATGATGGAATGTTTATGTAGTAATAGACTTTGTATGTGATTAATTCTTATCCTATCCTTCTTTAGTCTTCAGAAATCATACTGCCTATACAAGACTATACATAGAAAACAGATTGCTTTTAGTGCTATGCCAGAACAAGGTGAAGGCTAAGTTTTCTTCATTAAGACTTTATTACTGTGCAGCAGAAATTGCCTGAACAGGTGGGGGAAAGACAGTAATACAGTGATTAGGATTTCTTTTTGAAACAGACGTCTCACAGCAGGTGCCAGTAGGCAGGATTCGGTGGGCGCTCATCTAACTGAAACGTTGGGAATGCTGTAACTGTGTTCTGTGTGCTGTGATGCACTGCGCAGCAATTCAATATGCAGCACGGACCTCAGAGGGAGCAGCGTTTGGGGAGCACAGCAAATGACCTGCATGGTTGCAGTGCCATCTGCCGATGTTTAAATTTATTGCAGAAACAAAGAAACGAACAGTTGAAGTACTTCGATGTCTCACTTGCAAATAGGACAGCCTTGTAATTTGCACTTGGCTGACAGGTTATCACTTTTCTAACCAGAACCTCTGGTTAGAAAAGGTGCCAGTAGTTTTAGCTGGTCAAGAACGATCCTCTTGACCTTTCTTATCTTTATAAATCAAAGCTCCTACACTTCTGTCTCCTTTTGAAAGTCATATTTAGGCTGTTGCATTATTTGGGTTCTTGTGGCAAATGCACTGGATTGGTTTGTCAGTCATGAGATCTAATTGCTGTTTAAGTTTGTATGTAATTGGTAAAGATGCAGGGCCGTGACTCCTCCATTCACTCAACACATGCCCCTTTTTCCAATGCCCACTGACCCAAGGTCCAGTCAGTGCAGCTGGCCTTCCCTCAGTCTCCCCTGTGCCTCTACACACAGCTATATGGAGTACCAGGTCAGCTTCCAGTCCTGTTCCCTCATGTGGCAGTGCAGTCAGCAGGCACATATGTGGGTTGGTAGCCCACATAGAACCCCCATAGCTGTACAGCAGCTGAGTTACCTGTGCCAGCTGGTTGATGTGCCAACCGAGGTTAGAGCTTTTGCTATGTAACCTCATCTTAGATGACTGACATTCTAGTTTGTCTCTACTTTTAATTGCAAAAGAAACAAAAGGAGGTTGTGAATCATTTTCTCATCAAATACAGTCACCAATCAGGACAGTAGTTAATTAGTGATGGATTTACAGGCAATGCTTGCTTTTGTGCTTTGAAAAAAATGAGCACATCTGTGCCACCATACACTGATCTGTTCTCATGCCAGGATGTGCTTCTTTGTATTCCTGCACCAGGCTTGAGTATTGGCATTCTTTTTTTATAGTAATTAGGACTACCTGTGGTTGTACCAGTCATTCTCTTATGGGAGACTATTTGAATATTTACACTTGCACTTACATGTGTCTGAATAAAACAATTGCACTATGTGTTCTTCCAGCCTTAACTAAAACCGGCTTTCAGAGCAAGAAATGGCCCAATCCTTTTATTTACAACTTAATTGGAGCTTATTAGAGCACTGCCATTTCTTGGTCTGTCCAGATAAAGCAACTAAAACAGCTGTAAAAGTAGTAATGAAGTGTGCTACCTCAACAGCCCCCTACAGAAGCATCATTTCACCCTTTTACAGTGTGAATACAGAGGTGCAGTCAAGCCATCTTAGCCTGGCATTAGCAGTAGATTCAGCATATTACAGGTTCTGTGCTGCCCACAGAAAGTTGACAGAAGCTGCTGTCAGTTTCCATCTGGCCTGACCCAAAGGCTTCTGGACACAACTTAAAAGAATCAGTTTGTCTTCAGTAACACATTTCCAATGTATTTGAGGTCCTGGGCTCTACAGTACATTGAACAGCATGCTTCCCTGTCTTTCAGTGCTGTTTGTCAGTCAGGCCCTTAAGGTAGCCCTCTCCCCTTTAAAATCCTTCATGGCGTTGTGTATCTTCTAGTGTGCCTGAAGGATGTATCTGCCTCACGGTGTGCACGCACTCGAGTTGGCTTTAGGTTGCACAGGGGTACTGCTTGCAGCAGTGCTGCAGAGGAAGAGGTCTTCGGCAGGATTTGCTCAGCTCCTTCCCTGAGATTTGCAACCCATGCCAGGTTCTGTGTTATAGCAGCAAAGCTGTTAGCAGATCTCAAGTTAGCTGAGAGCTAAGTGCAAACACTGCCACTGCCATGATGCAACCTTACTGGGATGTTTGTGAAATGGTGAGTAGGCAGGCGAGAAGCTGCCATTTAAACAAAACACTACTTGAAGTTGTCAAGCCTACGGATTATACATAAATAAGGAAAAGCATGTTGCTTTCATTATCTAAGGCCAGGTTATCATTAAACAGACTACTTAAGTTTTCCTGATTATTTTTTTCTCCTCCGCATGATTCAGTTCTTTAACTAATAAGGGAAAATAGAGACTGTAGGATACTACTTCTGGGTTCCTCAGCATCTCTTATCCCTTTGTTTGCCGTGTTCTCCTTAAAGGAATATTCTTGGTACTGGGCAAATGGAGACAGCCACAACTACATGCTATTCTCAATACGTGGCAGCTTTAACACAGAAATATCAGAGTATATGGCAGACATGAACTGGTGCTAAATAACTGTAAAAATGTGAAGTTTTGTAGTTAATGGGAAGATTTACAGCTAGTTAAATCTTCTGGCATGGTCCCACAGGACACACGCAGGAGCATTTCAGATGGGAGGAAGCACAGCCAGAGCAGACATTTGAACATTGCTCTCACAGCATCAAGGACGCCCAGCAGTGTTTATGCTTACCTGGGAATTGAAGGGACTTGGAAGTATCTTAAAGACAAGTTATCCTTTTCCTCATCTACAACAAGTGCAATGTAGAGCTCTGATGTAGGAAAAGGCTGGCCCTTTTGAGGTTAACAGATTATTTGTAAAGTGCACATCAGTTAAAATGTACAAATCTTTCAGAGTGCCAGCTTGGCCCCTGTAAAGAAGCCGAGCAATTGAAAGCATACTTCTTAATGAAGCCCTAACATACAGACAATCTAAAACTCCGTAATGAAGGCCTAGACAGAGTTTTTGAAGGTAAAACTTTCTGAGGGGAAGAAGCTGGTTGTTGTTCTAAAAGGTGATGATCACTTCTGCCATTCAAAGTGCCTAAACTCATAGTGCCATCAAAAGCAAAGCCACTAAGTAAAGAAATAAAATTGTGCAGTGTCAAAATAGTGTCAAACAGATGTTAAAACATGATTTGAGCTGCTGTAACCATGTTTCTAGAATTACACTAGTAATTCTAGTGTAAGATGGGAGTGAATTGCCTTGAAATCAGCAGGGCACTGCCAGTTTTCTCCATTTTTTTGACAATCTGGCCTGCTTTAAATACAATTTGTGTAACTGATCCCAACAGCTAAATCAAAGCTAAAATGTCTGATGTTTCTTTGTGGATCCAAAGGAGCACCCTTTCCTCTCAGTCACAGTCAGGTTACCTCATCCTGACTTGAAATGAGACCTTACTGCAAAAAGATAGGTGTGCAATTGTCAGTTTTGTCGATTGCACAAAACTGCATATTGTGAGATATGTATATCCTAGCAAACAAAAGAATTTGGCATTAAAATCAGTTGAATTGCAGATCTATTTCTGGGGAACAGGCTGTTTGTTTGCATTTTCTTTTTAATTTTTAACTTCTGAATGTTGTTACAACAGATGGCCTGTTGAGCCAACAATAGATCATCATGTCTCAACACAATAGGGTCTCTTTCTGGCTAGCTTGAATTGGAACTGGTAGATATCAGTCCTCACCAAGCACATTCCAAACAGCTACACCTTAATTGCTCCTTCCATCTGGCCCCTGGTACTACAAACAACTCCCTGCCTCCTTGCATAACATCAGAAAGACACGTGGGTAAGCAACCTAGCACTGAGGCAGTTCTTTTGAACACATTAAACACCATTTCTGGATGCTCACAGGCTCCACACTTCCTTGAGTAACAGAATATTCATGCTAATTACAGAAAAGAGTTCAATAACTAAATATTTCTGTTATTAAATTATGCTCTTTGATTTCTATTCCCGCAGAGGTCTCAGTCAGCATTCTCCCTGGCTAGTGAAGATACACCCAGCAAAGGACTGGACCCTGCATCGTCTGTCACCGAGGCTCTTTGGAGACAGCAGAAAGGACAATTCAAGAAGCAGAAGGAACGCAAGCTCTCTGCATTACCCAGCTGGAAAAGTGTGGACAGGCTAAATGAAACAAGTAAATATTTCTAGTACGAATATGATTCTTTTTTTTTCAGTTTTCACTCCCTTGCTATCTATAATAGGGATTAGGTTCACACCCAATGCACATTGCCAGTCAGCACGCACAGTCAGAATCCACACTAAGGTCTCTGTTTTGTTTCTGTGCAGAATCAGGTGTTAGGTGATCCTTTGCAAAGCAAGCACATCCCCAACTAGAAGGATGGTCACTAACATATAACTTACAAAATACTTTACAAAACTATTTTCTTTGACAGCTTTGAATTGGTTGTTCTGTTTCATCTTTATTGGAGAAGCATATTATGGAGCTAGGAGGTTTCCCTTTTGTAGGGAGGGGTAGCTGCTGCCTCATGTCCATCTTTTTTCTGTGTTGGTGGATGTCTTTTTTAATATGTTAATGACCCTTAATGAGCCTAAAGGTCACTTAAGGAGCACTTTCTCTTCCTCTTTTGTTGATACTCTCACATTAGCACATGCTTGACATTCTTGTGGTCAAGCTGTTTACCTTGTCACTTGTTTTTCACTTTTATCACACACACAAAATCACAGAATCACAGGGATTGAGAGGGACCTCTAGAGATCATCGAGTCCAACCCTCTCTGCTAAAGCAAGTCCCCTACAGTAGGCTGCACAGGTAGGTGTCCACTGAGTGGAATAAATAAGACATAAAGCAAGGGCCTCTTCTAGGAAATTTCTGCTGGCATCTGTGCTTGCAGAGGTCACATATGAAAATGTCTATGTCTGTATGTCTGTTTGGTAATGCTGAGGGTGTCATGATTGCATTGGACTGTATCACTGCTTATCCTACCATTGTTTTTTTCCAATAACAGATTCAAAATTTGGGCCTTTGGGAAGTTGATTTTGGAGTATTACGAAGCATTAGGCATCTAACTTGGATGTGTTTCAGAGCTTTTAAGATACAGGAGCCTAAGGGCTGTGTTGTTTTTTTGCCTAGTTATTTGTTCTCCAGTGAAAGGAGTTTGCAGATGCCTGTAGCCTCCCTTCTGCTGCACAAGTTAACGTTTGTGAGGCTACATAGTGAACCAAACAGTGAAATAATTCAAGTTTAAGATTTCCCTCACACATTCATTTTCTACCCTGATGAATTCACCTGTGCAGCCCTGCAGGTTTGATGCAGCTGAATGGGTGAGAACAAGCAGTTGCCCTAGATTAAATGCCCTCTCTGTGTACATTGTATATGAATGCGAATGTGAAAAATAAGTGGAGCAGCATCATAAGTTAGCCCCATTACTAAGCCAGCACTGTGGGTTAGAGTGCAGTTCCCTGCTTGCTTCAAGGTGACATAAGTACAGTCTGTCACTGAAGAATGTGGCTTCTGCTGTTGGGGTGCCAGTTTCCTTTGCCTCTCTTGTTCCTGCCTTACTGTTTGTGAGGCCATGTCAAGTAACTGCTGCACAAAGGAGCAGCTTAGTTTTCATCCTCACAGACACACTAATAATGATCATGTTGGCACAATGGGAGATAGTGAACTGTTCATTTCAGCAGCAGACCTGGTTCCAAGGGGCACAGCAGCAGAGCTGACCTGCCTCTTGCTATTTTTCCTCCAGGACACAGAAGCTGCTCATTTCTGTGCTTTATCCCAAGGCAGCTGTAGAGCTGCTGCATCTGTCTGATCCCTGCAGCGATCCCTGATGGGACTTCCCATCAATTCCATTTGTGTTTCTGTAATGCCAACTGAGTGGTATTAGAGAAGCTGGGAGGCTGAAAATCAGACAGCATGAATAGTGTCCTCTACCTGAAAATTGGGTGGTAATAAAGTAGTATTAAAATGTGACTTAGCTAAGTATCCTTTATTTGTGAACTGTTCCTTCAGTCTCCTGTTGGAAATGTTGTTTTCCTGGGCATTTTAGTTGGAGGCCTATTTTCAGTAAAGCAGTTAATTATGTACTTAAATTTAAGAACTCACTTCGATCCCATTGAATTCAACTGTTCAGCAATTTAGTACTTAACAGTTGCTTAACCAGAGCAGAATGGCAAATTGACCCAATTTCCTTTCAGGTGCTCTATTCAGAATATTTGCTCTGTTTCTTTTCACTTAAGAACCATATCTGTGATGAAATTGAGCTGCCTGTAGAACTTATATTAAATAATTGAGTGTGCTAATATGTGTAAATAGAACCTTATTCTTGAGTAGTAAATAGCTTGTATTAGATGCAGAAAATGCAAGAAATCTTAGCCGAGAGTTTGAAGCGGTTACATTAGTGGGCTTTTGTAGCCACATGGCCAAAAAGCAGTTCACAATTCATTTTGACTAGACTGGTTTAAATGATTTCTCAAGAGACGAATACTGACTTTGCACTTTTTTCCCTTTTTGCAATAGTTTCCTAACGAGACTTCTTAAAATCTGTTTTAATTTTCTCTTGGGTAAATGATGATGTGCACCTTAAGAACTGTGCACAAAGTCCATTCTTTCAAATAAGTGACTTTGGTTTGGAAAATCAAAAGGGCCCATTTCATATGACTTGAAGTTTTTTGAATGTAAATTTCTCAGTGAGTTGCCTTTCCATCCTGCTTACCCTGTAGGATCTAATCAATCATTATCCTCTCTTCAGATAACTGAGGATGATTCTTATGTGTAGTTGCTAAACAAAATCAAGGGATGTGGCTTGGGAGAGGGAAAAAAGCATAATGGAATGGGAATCCACTGTATTACTTTTGTGTAACATGGCACAGCCGAATTCAACTTCTTCTCTGTCTCCCAAAGCTGATTGCTTTGTTTGAAAGAAGTGAGGTTTTTAAGGAAAAGTGGTCTTCTTTCTCTCAAGAGAGTCCTGTGCTGGAATTAGGGAGCATTGCTGGAAAATGTAAGAAAGCTCTTCATTTGTGAGAATGATTCTCATGCTTGATATTTTGTCTTCTTCGTATATCAGCGATTATAGTAAAGAGTGTATGTCAGCTGGAAGTCTTTTTTTTGTATTTAGTGACTTTCAGTGGATTTCTCTTCTACATCCATAGCCATCTCCGTGTTATTACAGATTCATTTCAGGCATCCCTAACATCTTTAGGCAGGTCTGTTACCCATTGCATCCCTTTTTTATCTTTTTTTTTAATTATTATTATTTTTTTTCTTTTGTTGATCTTGAAACTAGATGTCTCTAGTTTTACTTTATGTCCTATAGTGATTAGGCTGAAGGAGATTGCCTCATCTCTTCCAAAATGTATGCTCTGTCTCCTCCAGAACACTCTGGCTTGATTGTTCCTTAAAAGGAAGCCCTTTCAGAATCTGGCTCACACTTTTTTGCTCTTCTCCATCCTTTTTCCATCTTTTCTTTTTGAGATGGGATGTCAAAACTGCACATAGAATCAAGGACATATGCAAAATATGGGATTTATAGATGTCTGTGTCATGGTTTCCTTCATCCTTTCCTAATATTTTTTTCAGGGGGGGAGGAGTCTTGGTTTAAGGACTCTCATATTTCAAGTTGTCATCACCATGACTTTAAGTGGTGACTTCTGATCAGAAATACAGCAGCATAGTTCAGAACATGAGAGAATTCGTGATAGCAGCAGGATAGCAATTCACGATGCGTTTGCCCATTGGTTTTGTTGAAATCTCCAATCTGTGGCCAGACAATTACAAGCAGGCATCAAGAGCTCTCCACACTGTGATAATGTATGATATTTGAAGAGTTTGTTATTCTTTCGTTTTCATAGATCCGCCTCCCGTTTTACAAAGCACTGATGGAAACTGGGTAGCTCTGCAGAATGTTTCTTTGCCTCGCCCTCGGATGCTCGCCAAACCAAAGAGTCAAGTATTTGAAGCTTTGGAGAATGAATCCAGCGTTGTGTCTGCATATGACGAGATGGGCTCAGACAGCGAGGATGATTACGACTGGAATGTGGCCTTGAACAAGCTGCGGCGGAGGCCTCGGCAATTACCGGATGATTTCTATTGTACCAACTCCCAGTATGATTCTGAATGGGTTTATGGCAATGATCAGTACCAGGCAGTCACCTCACCTTCCTCTGGGTTATACACCAATACTGAGACGCTGTTCTCTGATTCTGAAACATCGTCGGTAAACTCTTCCCAGGAAGCTAAAAGACCTAGCAAACTTCTCTGGTTACAAAGCAGAACTCAGAGCGATGTGCCCAGAATGGAAAAAAAACATTTCCATGGAGAACTGGATGTGAACTTCAACCCACAGGCAACCAGCCTGGAGTATTCAGATAGCAGTGAGACTGAAGAAGTTCAGTATGATTTAGAAAAGAGATCAAGAAGATGGAAAAAGAACAAAACGATCTCTGAAGAATTATCTGAAGGAAAAAATCACACAAAAGCCAACATGAAGAATTTAAGACAGGTAATTGTGATCTTACTGAATGCAATCTAAAATTATACATATAGGCAAAACTAATTAAATTGTGCTGGCAATAGCATGTGAATTGTGAGTGGGAGATGGAGTGTTCTTGCAAGCCTTATCTTTGTTATGCCTCATAACCAAGAAGAAACAAAAGGTAAAGTGTTAAATATACCATGAGCAGGCTTTGCTTCTTTCTCAGATGTGCCACTTTCATCTGATCAATCACATCAGTAATGCTGAAAAATACAATACTCCTTAAGAAAAAGTCAGGATCTGCCAATAGCCATCAAATGTTGAGTAATCACCTGTAGATGGTATCTGTTTTTTTACTCCTTTGTTCTTGGAATAAGAATGAACTCATATGCCTGGGAGTCCTGACTGTGCTGTTTGCAAATGTCCTGGTATAGGATAAAGCTAAGGAGCAGTAGAAACTCAGGAATTAATGATTTTGAAATATGGTCCAAACACTGTCTGCTTTTTATTAATCACTTGACTGTTTCAGTTCTGGTGTGTTACAGTCAGTGTTCACATACTACTTCCATTTAAGTGATTTGTCATTTGATTAAGAAGCAAATAGCATGTAAGTACTTTAACTCGAAAAAAACTATCACAGAACTTAAAGACAGTAAAGCACTCCCCAAACATTTATCTTAAACGTGCAGGAGATAACATGAAAGCAAAAAGTCTTCTCTGTTTAGGATTTGTCCAAGTTAGAGACTAGTATTATATAGGGGATCCAGTTGTCCCCCAGCGTTTACCAGCCATGCAAGCACACTTCTCAGTCTGGTGGAGGAGAATCCTGACCTCTTGTCCAGTTCCATTTCTTGTGTCCTACTCCTCTCAACTCCTGTAGCTGGATCATTGCTGCAATGCTGCAGTGGTGAGTCTGAGGCAAGGAGCAAAACGCTGTCTTCTCCCTATACTTCTGATCACAATCTGATCTTTAAAGCTGTCTGAGAAATGTTAGGATGGCTGGAATTGTTTGCTTATGCTCCTAGCCCATATCTCTCCTGGAAACAACTGTTACATACCTCTCCTGGTACAACTTGGACCTTGATAGGTCAAGACTAGGGTTCTAGGATTTAAGGCAGGCTTTTAATGTAGGATAAACTATAGTTAATTCTGCATCTATCCATCTGCTTCTAGGAGGCAGGTGTGGGTGTTCTGCGCTGAGTCATTTATAGTCGTGTCCTCATATGTTTGTGAGCTCCAGATTTTGAAGGGGACTTTCATATGCTCCAACAGCACTTCAGTAGCCATTAGCGACCTCTTAGAACATCAGATGAGATGACAGGACTTTTCCAGGGACTCCACAAGGACTGTCTTGTAGACATCTGTCTTTCCATTTCTGGCTTCGTGTATTTGTGCATGTTCTGTGGGTGTCTGTCTCATATTGTGGCTTCCTATGTTCTACTGCTCTGTTGCAGGTAAGTCCTGCAGATGTTCCTCCAGTGGAGAGCAGAGAAGCGGGGTGCCTCCAGACACGCATGACTGCATCCTTCAGCAGACCAGTTTGTGTCTCAGAGTGCAACCTGATGCAGAAAACAATTGCTCTTTTCAACTCTCTTATGAGTTGAAACTTGCATCTTCAGTGCTGACTGTACCTTTCTGTTGTGCTCAAAATGCAAGGTTTGGGTCTCTGAGCCATTCTCCCTTTCATTTTACCATGTGGGCAAAAAGAGATTCTTTCTGCTCTCTGCTCCTTCAGCCATAGTGGGGCAGGCAGCAATGCTCTCACTCAAGATCACACGCATGCCCTTAAAGCAGTGCAATTTTCCCTGGGAAGTAGTATGGCTGGGTGCATGCCTTTAGTTTGTGTGTAGGCACACACCCTGGTGGGACCATCAGTGCCTGCCAGCTGCTGTTTGTTTCTCCATTCTCTGGTACAGAAAACTCCATTCTCTGGTACAGAGCAGGAAGGGGCTGGCCAGAAGCCATCATAGCAAGGAAATTGCTAGGGATGAAAAAACCTAGGAAACAATTACAATGATTAAGAGCCTAAGGGGTCAGATTTGAGCTATTATACTAAATTAACTAAGCATCATTTCCATTTCTTGGAAAAATAAAATTAAAGGATGTGGGGATTTCATGTGATCCCCAAAGTAGTGCATTGACCTAGAGCCATGGAGGCTGCATCAGAGAGGGACTTACATGTAAACAGTTTGCAAAAGATGGTAGCATACATGCATAGTGAACTGCTGACTGTCAGCTTAAGGACATTTCACTATGTAGTTTTCACTCTGTGTACGTTTTCACATACTGAGATTAAAGAGAATTTACTGAAAACACACAAAATTGCATCACAACGTCAGTGAACAACTGATCATATGTAAATTGCAGTGAAGAAACATACTTTTTCCATATCTTACTGCATTGTAATCATAACACAATAACTTGTTAACAGTTATGTTTTCATCCATATTTTAGAATAAGAGATCAATTTAGCAGTCTAAGCATTGGGCTTTCTTTTTAATTTGTCTCTTTACTATCTTCTCTGAGACTCACAATAAAAGGAAAGCAGGCTCTTTGCTCTCTCCCTTCTCCAAATCTGCAGAGCTGTCACCAGTAACATTCTGGAACAATTGCAGTCAGTTTGTATCTTACAACTGAATTTTATAGAACATTTCATAGAACTGTCTGGGATTGCACTCAAACAAGGGAGCTTAATATTTCATGGAATAGCTCGTGTTGGAAGGGACCTTAAAGCCCACCCAGTTCTGCTGCTGCGCCGTGGGCAGGGCAGCCACCCACCAGACCAGGCTGCCAGGGCCCCATCCAACCTGACCTTGAGTGCCTCCAGAGATGGGGCACCACAGCTTCTCTGGGCAGCTGAATTTGGGGAGATTTTTGCCACTTTATGATGGGTAAAAGAACAGCCTCCTTTAGCAGGTTGCCCATAGAAATGTTGTAAACACAGCCATGAAGCAAGCACAGTGGGATGTGAAAACTGTCCTGACAAAACCAAAGTCCTACTAACAAGTTTCTGATTGCTTATGGAGCATAGAAGACTAAAATTCCTGGGGAGCCATAATTGAGTGGTGCAGCCTTTTATCCACCTACCCTGCTTGTAACAGGAATTATTTTCCAACTTCTTTGCAAGAAGTGACCACTCAAACCATCAGACTGTTTTCGTCATCATTATTGTTGTTGCTTTATTGGCCTTCGTTATCATTTTGAGTGGAGATGTTGCTTAGTGTAGCTGTAATTCTTAGATGTCTGATGGAAAGTAATTATTACTTAATTGCTTCCAGTGATGAAAGTGCCCTCATTACAAATTTGATTCTTTTATCAGAAGACCTTCCCCATACATTGCAGCTTTCCTGCCCTGCAGCCAGGTAGGGGGGAGCATTGTGGGACTGCTGGTGCCCGCAGGATGGTGCTTGGGGTGTATTTATGGGAACAGCTGCCCTGAAACTGCCCCAGTTCTCACTGAGAAGCTGCCTGCAAACTCACTATCTGGGTCTTCTTCATCTGGAAACTGGAATTTCTAATCTATTTCCTATTTGAATGGATCTTTTCTGTCCAGGGTTTATAATGTAGCAGGGACCTTCTGGAGCCTCAGAGACAGCATTTGGCTTGCTTACTTTATTTTGAGGCTTTTGCATTCACTGAGATTACTCTGAGTTATCAGCCATTTGCTTGCAAGGATTTGTCCAGTGTGTATTAGGAAAAGTGTATTTCCTCTTCATTGTCTGCCAAACGATTTACAATTGCATTAAACCTACTTGATTTACTTTTAGTGTGGCTGTGTCAGCCTGCCAGACCCTCCCTCAGGCTCTGCTTTCAGATGAACCAGCAGGCCTTTCATTCTTGTTTGCAGATGTTTATGTTATTTACTGCTGATACATGCTGATAGGAACTTACACAATGATTTATATGAACAAAAAGATGTCAGTAAACTTAGCAGATAGAGCAAAAGTGTGACCAGTAAAGAATAATGAAGTTTAAGAGAGCATCTATTAAATAAATAATACTTTTCAGTGTCTTTATTATTTTTATTCATTGTCACGGCTTCTAATGCATTTTTAATCAGCTAATCCACAGAGGAGGTAACATTTCCTCACAAATAGTCAAACACAAGTCAAGCAGCCCAGCAATAACAGAAGCAGCAAAATGTAGCATTTCAGGATATCATTATCTCTGCGTGAAAGCAGGAACTGACAATTCCTACAGATGTAAATACTCCAGCTGCTGAATGTGAGGAGGCTGGCAAGCAGAAAGATGGGGAATAAGAATCCAGCTGTAAGCAAATAAACACCCTCAAAGTGCGTCCTCCCACAGGACTCTATGCTGAAATTCTGTGTCTGCATAGAATGGTGGTTTTTTTGCTCCCTTGCAGTCTCAACTCCAGGCTAAACCGTACTCTTCCTGCCCAGATATTTCTTGAGGAAGCCTACACTCGTGGTGCAGAGCTGTCAGAGCTCACTAGCAAGTCTTGTGATCCTAAACCACATCATCTGGAAGCAGGAGAGTAGGTCTTCAGAGGTACCATTAAATAAATGCCCAAATACCCACATTAAATAAAGAGGGATTTTAGTAATTAGCTGAGACTAGGTAACTAATAATAAATATTTCAAGCTAATGAATTGCATCTCCTAAAATGCAAATGTGCCGTAAATTATCTAAATTGTGATAGTTTTTCTCCAAATTACTGGATAGATGGATTCAGCAGCAAATTTCAGATCTTACAGTAGCTTAGTATGTATTTTTCAATACCAAATTGTAACCCTAAGCTGTGAAAGTGCCTGGGAATACAGTACAGTTTACTGTATGAGAGATGAAGGTTGACACTACAAACATAACGTGTCACCATGAAGAGCAGTTGAGTGAGGAGGATTTGAGGGAATCATCAGAGTTAACATTTGCTGTGAGAACTGGAGGCAATTGGTCCATCCATAAATGCTGCTGCTGAGGCTGCAGAGAGAGAGTAGCTGTGCAAAGCAAATCTGCTTATGTATTTCCAAATAAATGGCAGAGAAAACGCAGCTTTTAGTCTCTCCGGCCATGTCTGGTCCTGTCACAGTAAGAGAGCGCAAGGCAAATTTCCTGCCAAATAGGAATAATATCCTGTCTGAAGTTTGCTCCGAACCATTATCTTAGATCTGCTGCAGTGTGCCTGCTGCTTCCAAGTCCAGGCTGTGTTCTTTGTAGCCTCCTCCTGGGTTGCAGAAAGAAGAAAGCATGCTCCGCACATGATTAAATGTTGAGCAGGCACTGTGCTAGGCAGGCACGTAAAAGGATTTTGCTTTCTTTCTATTCAGCCTGCAAAATGAAAAACTTGTGGTCAGGTCTGTTTCCCACCCTATTTAACCAAACATATGAGTACTTTCACTTTGAGGATTCAGAGGTAAGAAAAGAAGATGCTCCTGAAGTCACATTCTAAGGAGGCTGGTGTTTGGAAAATAGTTCTAGCTGTAGTGGGTCCACCTATGTAACAGTCACTGGGAAAGCTGGAAATCTTAATGAATGTTGCTTTAAAAAAAAGCCAACAATAAGTTACTTTTCAAACCTTGCTTCCAGTAACCCTTAGGAAAATAAGAATAATGCTCAGGACCAGCAGGAAAGGAATCTGAGCCTGGCTTTCAGCTTGAAGGTGGACACAACTGCCAGGCTGTCAGAATAAGTTACTTCTTGCACTTCAGTTTCCCTATATGTACCATAACTGAGAGTGATGACAGTGCAGTACTGGGAATGAGAAATGCCATTTATTCTTTCATTTTATTAGCTGCACTGAGATGTGTAATGATTTTAGTAGCTCCTTTCAATGTGATATAAAAGCCAGGAATTAGAAACATTATCCAACACAACAGGTGTAGGTTGGCCTTCCTCTGTTAAGATGTGGTAATTCTTTTTCAGCCCACATTGTTTGCTTTCTTTCTATCCTGTCTGCACTCTGATTGTACGTATACCCTTTTCTATGAAACTGCTTTCCTTCTGTACCTATACTGTTTTACACTGTTCTTCTAATTTCTTTGTAGGATTTGGATGATTTATCAGAAACAGATAGAAGCAGTGAGGATCAACATCAGAATATCAAGCCTGAACTTATGGAAGAGGAGCTTAAATCCAGGTTATTTCAGCTTGCTGCTAAAATGAGTGACAAAGAAACATCTTCTGGTGAAGAACAAGAGTCTGAACCTAGAACAGACCCTGAAAACCAGAAGGAAAGTTTGTCCTCAGAAGAAAATGGCAAAAGCATTCAGGAGGAGTTAAAGAAGGTGAGTGCTTATTACAGGGAAGAAGGTCCATGCTTTACAAATTAGAATCCAGACAGAGGAACTTGTGTCTAGAAAATCAAATGTTGGCTGATTAAAAAACTTCAATCCCTGAAGTGCTTCTGAGCTTGCATCTCTTGTGCAGGTAAAGCTTCAACTAAGGTAATTGTTCCATCCTGTGAGCCTACAGCATTAACTCAGAAGCAGTGAACATTGTGTAATAAACCTGTCAAGTGACTGATGCTAATGGAATTATGTCTGTTTATGCTGATGGAGAATCTGCACATATGTTTTTACTTAAAACTATATCCATATCTCCTTTTTTTTTTTTTTTCCTCTAGCTCATTAATTTTTTTCAGTCCTGTTGTTTGCTTTCCTTTTCTTAGTATTGTTTAGCTCATTCTGATATTATAGATTCTTCTTTTACCTCTATCTGTAGGGATATTCTGTGCTTCCTTAGAACTTTACAGCCCTTTTATGCTGCCAAATAAGCAGCTCCAGTCAGTGGTGACATATTGTAGCAAAATGGTAATCTAGTGCCAGATAATGAATAATCCAATTCTGATAATGGAGGAGATCTTCCACTCATTTCATTTCACCCTTACAATATGAAGTCTGACTTCAGTGTCACCCCACAGGGCTTAACATCTGCTCTCTTCCTGTTTCTGAATTTCTTTTCATATCGTAGGGTGTACTTGGTGCTGTGTTCAACCATTTTTGTGCTCAGTTCACCATACAGGAGAATTCCTCGAGTCCTATCTATAGCCTTTAATTCTGGACTTTAATTGCATTGTGTTATATCCTAAGCTAACCTACATATTCTGTTGAATAATTTGATATTGCTGGTCTGTCTTGGTAAACCACAGATGAGCTAAATTTAACGTGTGTGTGGGGGGGGAGGGTAATCTCTTTCCTTTGTCTGTTAGATGCTGGTAGCCTTCTTTTCTGCAAGTGCACATGGCTGGCTTATGTGCAACTTGATGTCCTCCAGGATCCTGTTTCCTTTTCTGTCAAGCTGTATCCTAGCCAGATAGTCTCCAGCCTATATTGATACAAGGGAGAATTCCTCCCCAGATGCAGAATTTTGCATTTCCTGTTGTTGAACTTCATGAAATTCCTGTCAGCCTGTTTCTCCAGCTTGTCAAGGTCCCTTCTTGAATGGCAAGAAGGCCATCTCAGGTCTCAACCACTCCTCCTAATTTATTCTCTGATTCATTGTTTCTGCCAATAATGATGATAATAAACAGTACTGGCCCCAGTACTGGCCACACAGGTATACAACTAGTGGCTGGCTTCCAGTTGGACTTAAAGCCTCTCAGCATAACCATTTCAAACCAACAGTTCAGGCAGTTTTCAACCCACCTCACTGTCTACCTGTCTACACATTTAGTCCATACTTGTTCAGTTCATATAAGAGGATACTATGACAGACAGTACTGAAAGCTTCATTAAAGCCAAAATATCATTTTATGCTCTTCAAGTGTAGTGAAATAGTCATTTACTTCATTGTATAAAGCAATCAGGTTGGCCAGGCATGATTTTTCTTTCATAAATCCATGCTAACTACTCCCAGTCACCATCTTGTTTTTCATGTTTGAAAGTGGCTTTCAGGAGGATTTGATTCTGGATCAGTGCCCAGCAACATTCCCCAAATTATCATCATCTTTCAAAAATGAAGATGAGCAATCTCCCAGTGCCAATGGCCAGCTCCCTTAGCTCTGGTGAGCGTGCTCCATCAGGTCCTGTGAACATGCATGTGTCCCATTTGTTGAGATGTTTGCTCATCTATCAAGAGCTTTTCTTCATTGTTCCAGACTTTTCTATTGGACTCAGGGGCCTGAGAGTGTGTAAGTTGAGCTGAAGACAGTATTGTTTAGCCATAGCATTTTTCTTGTCTCATGTCACCATTTCACTTCAGTAATGGGGCCCATTTTCCTTCATCTACCTTTTGTTGCTGGTTTACCTGCAGAAGCTTGTTGCCATTTGTGTTCTTCACCAAATTCAACTCCAGGTGGATATTAGCTTTCCTGACACCATAACTATATTTTTGGACACTGTCTCCGTGGTCAACCTGGATCTCTTGATCCGGCTTCCACATCTTGGTATATTAGTTCTTCTTATCATTTGAGTAAAATACTTTTCAAATGATGAATAATAGGGAAGTGGCCAACTCTTGTTCAAAGCTGAGCTTCTATGCAGTCAAGATCCCAAGAGATGAGTAGCCACACAGCAAACAATAAGAAGCCTGAGTGGACCTGGAAGATAAGAATGTTTGACTAGTGAGGGGCGGCACTGGGCTTCTTATGTGGACATGTTGACCATTGCTGACTGAAATAAAAAGCCATTCTGGGAACAAGGACCAGAGCAGAAATGAATTAGCATTCCAGGGTGAAAGTCCCATTTTCATCAAGGAGGATGGAATAGGCCTAAGATAATCTATGGATGTAGCTTCAAACCCTTTACTCCTAGATTCTGCCTCAAACCTGTGCTTGTATATACTTTTACCTCCAGATTCTTACCTGCCATACAGTGGAAGTAGCTGCTGTTTCATCTTCAGTTTGGCTTGATGTCTCCAGCTGTGTTTCCTATTTCTCTGAATGGAAGTGCTAGATTTTTGGCTTAAAACAACTTGTTGAAGTTCCCCAGTAATCACTGGGGAAAAAAAATGAAATGCTTAAACTGAGTAAATTGGTTCTTTCTCTGCAGGTGTTTGGAAACTCCTGCCTCTAGTGACAGTTCTAGGGCTGAGCAGTTATATTAGGTACATGAGATTTGCACATCCTTTTTGTGGTGTATTTACTCAGTGCATCTAGAGTATTGTTTTACATATATGTATTTTACTTTAACATTTGTATCTCAATTATTTAAAATAATGTACTGCTTAATACATTTTTCATAGTAAAATTTTCTTAAGTTTAAAAGAGATGTACAGTATTCAGGAAAACATTAATGCTCACAGTTCTTTATTTTTTGTTGATTTTTGTTGAAGAAAAGTCTTAGTCATTCATTGTCACATTATGTATTCTTTTTGCCTGTAATGAAGAAACCAAAATATCCAGTATTATACATGGTCATGGCTTCAGAGGAATTGAGAGCTGAACTTGCTTCAGCTGTGTAGAAATAAACAGACTGATTCATGATAGTCATCATTATAGGTAATTTAAATTCTCTGATGCATATCTTGTCTTTGGAAAGTCTTGTTGGACTGATCAACATCCTTCAATGAAATCCTGAAGTTGATAGTGTGTAATACTAGTTGTGGCTATGTAATCTAAAATGCAAAGACATATCAGAAGGGAAGGGGAAGGGGAAGGGAAGGGAAGGGAAGGGAAGGGAAGGGAAGGGAAGGGAAGGGAAGGGAAGGGAAGGGAAGGGAAGGGAAGGGAAGAGGAGGGGAGGGGAGGGGAGGGAAGGGAATGGGAGGGGAGGGGAGGGGAGGGGAGGGAATGGGAGGGGAGGGGAAAGAGTTCCATCAGAAGGGACCTTCAGTGATCATCCAGTCCAACATACTTCAAGACCATCCAGAATCTAAAGCATATGTACCCATGCATTAACTTGTAAATGACTAGATGACATGTCTCAATGGAGACAAGCACAGAAAACATATTTTCAAGGAACCAGTAATTTTAGATGCCTCAAAAGTCAGAGACCCTTGTAAACTGTCATTTTTAAAAGCCTGATTTTAGAAGAATACGTGTATAGGGAGTTACAGATGTTGGACATTCTCAGCCAGAGACCCAAACTTCTGATATGGGCATGAAGTTTCGAAGCAAATCTATAGTTGCTCTAACTGAGCAAAGCTTTGTTGCCTACAGTCCACTTTGAGCTTCTGACCACAGACTAAACTGTATTTTAGTATATTTTAGTACTGTAATATATTTTGTAGTCCATTTCAGCCGTGCTGCCTGTCTTTGTTAGCTATTAGTTTTCTATTCTCAAGCTCTATTCTGGCACACATTAGCAATGTTAAATCACAGGGAATTACTGATTACAGCACACCTGACCACAGAATAAGATTTCAGAAAACATGTATCTTCTGTTGGATCACTGGCAGTTGAATACTTCATACTTCATGAAAATCTGCTTTCTATATGTCTATACATTTAAAAGTCTAGAGTTCTGTTTTTAGTGGAAGCAGGGAATTACATGTAATCACACTGATTGTATGATGCTTTAAAAATAATATATTAAGGTTTCTATCAGTGAGAAGAATTGGCACACCTTACATCTTCAGTTGGGAGTTAGCTGATGCTGGACATTCATGGATTTTTTTTTCTCCCCTCCAACTGAGCTTTTGTGTTGTATGTCTGCCTTTAAGATACAAGATGGAAAATGCTGACCTGTGAGATACTTGTTTAGATCATGTATGATACTTGAGGGGTTAAATGGGAATTAATTAACATTGGCTAATTTTATGACTTAAACTTTTCTAAAACCTCATCACACCTTCAATGTTTCTAAGTCTGTGATTGCCTAAAATGGTCTTGTGGAGGTTCACAGCTCTCTAAAGCAAATATAACTCCACAACACGCTTGTTTTTATAGGTAATATTTTGTGCTTATTAAGTTACAGAAGCAGTTTGTGGTCTTTAACCAGTGTGCAGACCCCTAAAAAGCCTGCTCATCCCAGCTGCATAATGAAAGGCCATGGGGGTCTTTTTTTTTTTCCCCCCCACTAATACCCTAGCCAATTAAAAGCAAAAAATAAAGCAAATAAGTCAGGTCTGTATTCAAGGAACAGACAAGAGTTACATCCTAGAAAGCAATTTGATCGGTATCCAAGTAAATGTTTAAATCCTCAGTTCAACAAAGAAGTTGAGCATATGTTCTAGTTTTTGCTGGACACAAATGCTACTCGTGAGATCTCTCCCAGATATTATTTATTGATATTTATTATGCAAAATTAAGTTGATCCTGAGAGTGTTTTGTCAAAATCTGAGTGTGATTTCAAGTAAAATAGATGCTTCAAAGCATAATTGTAATTTTTTTTATGTTTAAAATAAT